CTCTGGGAACAGGCGGGGTCACTGTGTGACACCATCCCTGTGTGACAGTATCACTGTGTGACAGTATCACTGTGTGACAGTATCACTGTGTGACACCATCCCTGTGTGACAGTATCACTGTGTGACAGTATCACTGTGTGACAGTATCACTGTGTGACATCACTGTGTGACACCATGGCTGTGTGACAGTATCAATGTGTGACAGTATCAATGTGTGACATCACTGTGTGACAGTATCAATGTGTGACAGTATCACTGTGTGACACCATGGCTGTGTGATAGTATCAATGTGTGACACCATCAGTGTGTGACAGTATCACTGTGTGACAGTATCAATGTGTGACATCACTGTGTGACACCATCCTTGTGTGACAGTATCACTGTGTGACACCATGGCTGTGTGACACCATGGCTGTGTGACAGTATCACTGTGTGACACCATCAGTGTGTGACAGTATCACTGTGTGACACCATGGCTGTGTGACACCATCACTGTGTGACACCATCCTTGTGTGACAGTATCAATGTGTGACACCATCACTGTGTGACACCATGGCTGTGTGACACCATCAATGTGTGACAGTATCACTGTGTGACACCATGGCTGTGTGACAGTATCACTGTGTGACAGTATCAATGTGTGACAGTATCACTGTGTGACACCATGGCTGTGTGATAGTATCAATGTGTGACACCATCAGTGTGTGACAGTATCACTGTGTGACAGTATCAATGTGTGACATCACTGTGTGACACCATCCTTGTGTGACAGTATCACTGTGTGACACCATGGCTGTGTGACACCATGGCTGTGTGACAGTATCAATGTGTGACACCATCAGTGTGTGACAGTATCAACATGTGACACCATGGCTGTGTGACACCATCGTTGTGTGACACCATCGTTGTGTGACACCATCAGTGTGTGACAGTATCAACGTGTGACACCATGGCTGTGTGACACCATCAATGTGTGACACCATCGTTGTGTGACACCATCAATGTGTGACAGTATCAATGTGTGACACCATGGCTGTGTGACACCATCAATGTGTGACACCATCGTTGTGTGACACCATGGCTGTGTGACAGTATCAACGTGTGACACCATGGCTGTGTGACACCATGGCTGTGTGACACCATGGCTGTGTGACACCATCACTGTGTGACAGTATCAATGTGTGACACCACGGCTGTGACATCACTGCTGCCTTTTGCCCGGTTCTTTCTGCCCTTCAGCAGTGCTTGTGTCCAAGGTCGGGGCTGAGCAGCCTCGGCTGTACCCCCATGTCCCCCTGCAGGGCTGTTCCCTGGGGTCCCAGCCCTTGGAACGAGCCACTCTGCCTGTACTGCAGCGGTGTGAGCCTGGACAGGGACAGGAAACGCGTGGGGGCTGCTGAGTCGCAGAGAGAAGCAAACCCGGGTTCCCAATGTCCAGCTGTGGCCTTGGCCAGCAGGACAGCACGGGGCAGCCGTGCTGAGCCAAGGCCAGCGGCACGGCCGCGATGGAGGATGGCGCTGACGCTGCGAGAGGACAGCCGGACAGTGGATGTCAGGAATGGTGCCATCGGTACAGGCAGCACAGGGTGGCCTTGCCTGGGGTCAGCCACCAGCTGCGTGCTCAGGGCCACTGCCACCGCAGTGTTTGTGTGCTTGGGCAACGCCGAGAAATCGGCTGGACTTGGCCTGGGGGCTCAGCTCTGTTCCTGTGGGCTCGGGGGGAGCTGCAGGCAGGGGAGATCCCACCTGGGGCAGGGGAGATCCCACCTGGGGTAGGGGAGATCCCACCTGGGGGCTCAGCTCTGTTCCTGTGGGCTCAGAGGGAGCTGCAGGAAGGGAGATCCCACCTGGGGCAGGGGAGATCCCACCTGGGGGCTCAGCTCTCCGTTCCTGTGGGCTCAGAGGGAGCTGCAGGCAGGGGAGATCCCACCTGGGGGCTCAGCTCTCCATTGCTGTGGGCTCAGAGGGAGCTGCAGGCAGGGGAGATCCCACCCAGGCTGGGGTGGTGGGATAGGGGTGCAGGTCCCTGGGAGAAGGGGACGTGTTGTATTAGGGCAGCAGGGACTGTTTGTAAACGTCAGAGTCGGACAGCATCAAGAAGGGCCCTGGAAAGGCTCTTTTGGGGTGCTCAGCCCCTCGAGATGGAGGAGCAGGGAATGTTTCGCAGGATCCACCCCGTGCCAGCGCCGTGCTGGCAGGAGAGCAGGGACATTGCCGGGGCAAAAGGAAAGGTCCCTTGGCCTTTGGGTACCGCTTGCCCCTTGCCATGTGCCCAGTGCTCTCAGTACCTGGCCCACTCCTGTTCCCGGGAATCAGTCACCCCTGTCCCCTGCACCGAGCCGGGGCTCCCGCAAGGAGCCCTCCCTCCCGATGTGCTCTGCCCCGGGAGGTTCCAGGGCTCCTCGTGCCCAATCCCCGCCACCAACTCCCCCTGTCGCTCCCGGGACACTCGGGACTTCCATCGCACGTTGCCGCCATGCCCGGAGCAGGGGCCGGCTGCGCTGTGCCCCCG